TTCTAGTTCCACCCATTTTCCTACAAATGGCACTATTTTGTTCTTTTTTATGGTTGAGTAAAACTCCATTGTATCCAAACTGTGCCTGTTGTGTGTTGAGAACCAAGGCTTCAGTGAAGTCATGTGATTCAGGATGGACAAGCACTGCAAGAAACATCTCATATTTGTTACTGGTTTGGTTTAGAAATGAATTTTGTTTGAGTGCTCGGAAACTCACTGTTATCAAGCTTCTTTACTATAGCCACATTCAGCTATGTGACCCCATATGACCCCAGAGTTGAAGCTGTGTTCTGCTCTGTTCCACTTTGTATGGTCTGTTCTGCTTTTATTCCTGTAGCTCTGAATTACCATTTTAAATTTTATATTGTAATACCACAAGTATTAATTGGGCTACTCACTGTTCTTTGTGTTTCCATATGAATTTCAGCTTTTCCTGTTTCTGTGAAGAAGGACTTTGGATTTTGATTGGGATTGCATGACTCTGTACGTTGCTCTTCATAATATAGTCGTTTTCATGTGAGCCTTCCCATTTTCTAGGCTCTTCTTTAATTTCTTTCCTCATCATTTTGAAGTTGTCTTTGTAGAAGCCTTTCACATACTCATTGATTCCCAGATACTTTTGTATGCACATGCGCGAGTGTGTGTGTGTGTGTGTGTGTGTGTGTGTGTGTGTGTGTGTGTGTGTGAGCTGTGAATGGAATCCCCTTACTGATTTTCTCTACGCATGTTATGTAGGAAATACAGGAATGTTGCTGACTTTTATATGTTGATTTCATATCCTGCTGTTGGCTGAAGGGGCTTATCAGACCTAAGAGTCTTTGGGTAGTGTGTTTAGGGTCTTTTAAGCATAAGATTGTGACATCTACAGAGAGGGATGGCATTAGCTCTTATTCTTGTTTTTCTTGCCATATTGCTGTGGCTGAGTTTTCAAGCATTACACCGAATGAGAGTAGAGAGGCAGATACCCTGATTTATTACTAACTTTTGAGGAAATGTTTCTGTTTTTTTTTCAGGGTTTTTTATTATGAAAGGATATTTGATGCTGTTAAATGCTTTTCCTGCATCTATTGAGATGATTACATGATTTCCCCCTTGATTATACATATATATGCATATATGCATACAGATACAAAAATGTGATATATATATATATATATATGTATGTATATATGCTTTATTACATTTATTTAGTTGTATGTCCTTGTGTCCCTGGAATGGAAACAACTAGATAATGTCATAGGAAGTTCTTAATGTGTGCTAATTGAATTTGGCTTGCAAATATTTTACTGAAGTTTTTCTGTCTATATTCATTTAAGAATTTGGACTGTAGTTTTCTTTCTTTCTTTCTTTCTTTCTTTCTTTCTTTCTTTCTTTCTTTCTTTCTTTCTTTCTTTCTTTTGTTGTATCTTTATTTGGTTTTGGGTAATGTTGTGTTGGTAAAATGAGTTTGTAAGTATCTCCTCCCTTTCTGTTTTATGGAATAATTTGCAGAGTCGGGATGTTCTTCTATGGAGTTAAAGGTGAATTCAACAGTGAAATCATCTATCTGATCGTTGGCCTTCTTTGTTGAGAGATCATTATTGCTTCAGTTTCATTGCTTATTTAAGATTCATTTAGGTTTTCTATATCTTCTTTGTTCAATTTTGGAAGGTCACATGTGTTGAAAAAAAATTTCCAGTTTATTGGTATGTATGTTTTCAAGACTCCTTTGTTTTTAATATTGGTGGAAAGAATTCCTTAATGATCTTCTCGGTCTCAATGGTGTCTGTCACAATACCGCCTTTGTTTGCAATGTGGATCTCCATTCTTTTTCTTTTGGTTGCTATGGCTGAGAGTCTTGTCACAGCCTTCTCTTGAGTACTTACCACATGGGAAGAACAACATCTCTAATAGCTACAGCCAAACAAATCAAAGACAATAAAATACAATTTAACTAATATAATACAATAAAAATCTATTCAAGACAACTGCTATACCACAAATAACCACAGAAAGGACAGTGGCAAAAATAATATAGACTGGCCTATGAATTTAATTTGTTACGTTTAAAGTAATAGTAATAAAAGGATGGGGCTGGCAGTGAAGAAATAAGGTTAAGGAAAAGAAAAACAATGTAAGGGAAAAAAGAAAAAGGCAAGATTTAAAATATCTGATTATAAAAGAAAACAAATACCTTAATACAGTTAGATAAAAGTACAGAGGAATAAAAAATTAGAACAAAAAATAATAAAACCAATACTAAAAACAGAGCAAAAAGAAAACTTTTTTTTTTTTAAAAAAAGCAAGGAATTAGATCAGTTTTTTTCTGAATCCTCTGATGTTTGAATCTACCAGATCTAGTAGGGCTGCACTGGGTAGCACTGAGGGAGTCTACTGTAGCTCTGGGTATGAGAAAGTCAGGGGAGAAAACTGAGCATTGAGCTTCATAATGGAGAGGGAAAAACCAGGGAACTTGACACTTTTTTCCTCTGGTTTCAGTAGTCTAGCTCCCATTCAGGGGCACGCCCCCTTTGTTAGAGAGGATGTTTGAGAGTTCTAATCCACCCTCAGTCTTGGACTTATAGCTGTCAGTCCCATATAGCAACAAACTCTATGTAGCGGCGAGGTACCTCTGGAAGCCACACATATCTGACAGCAACCAACTCAGAGATCTCAGTCTCTGTGGCAATCCACAGGAAATGGGCCTCACTTCTGACCATAAAGTTGGGGGCCACTACCACCTGCTCCATAGCTCAAGCTCTTGCTTAACTTTCCTGGGGTGTCCAGGTTTGATCCTTCCCAACGACAATAGCCCAATCACACTATCGTGTCTAGGAGAGGGGGAGTCCCCTGAATTGTAATTGTTCCTTGTTTTTGGAACCCCAGAAAGTTCAGTCTCTGTAGTGGGTAGCCATTCCAGCTTTGACCTGGAAGTACTACCCCTAGTGAACCCCTAGTGAGGCTTCCAGTAACTGTCTCGCCTACCTATGACCTGCCCCTGGGGTGGGGCCGAGATAGGAACCCTTAAGACCTGAGGTCTGGATGTGCCAGTCTCTTGGTTCCTGGTGTTCCTGGATGCTGGATGGCAGACCGAGTCAGAGTTCTCCCGAGAATCCCCTGGACTACACCTCACCTCTCCCAGATCCTATAACCAACCCCTTCAGTAGCTGTAAGCTACCCCAAAATAAACCTCTTTTTAAACTACGTGGAGTTGCCTTGATAAATCCCCACATTAAGTCTCAAACACGAAACCCTTTCTGAAGATGATGTTTGACTGTAGTGTTCTGAGAGACAATGAGAAACATACTGAATTTCTTCTCCAGGGCTGGTGTGCTATTCAGAAGAGTCATTGTTGGACTACATTCTTGTACCAGACACAAGTCTTGTGAGAACTGTGGGGTTTTTCTCTGGCTGGAATAATCACACTGTTCTCACACGGCCTGCCCGCCTAGCTTGTGCCTGTCAGCCTAGCTTGTGCCTGTCAATTCAGCTTCCCCACCCCTGAGATGACGGTTGGTGCTGTCCACCCCACCCCACCCTCCACCCCCTTTTTGTTTTTCCATGTCTTTGAGATTTCCTGTCACCTCTTTTTTTTTCTTTTATTCCAGAGAAGTAATATATTAATGTTACAACAAGGTTTGAGGGAGCCGCATGTCACAAAATGGCATGGATACCCAATCATTACATTTGTGAACAACAACAACAACAAAAATCTATCACTGGTTTTTTTTAAAGATTTATTTATTTATTATGTATACAGAAGAGGGTATACACCTTCTGGAAAAGCAGTCGGTGTTCTTAACCTCTCAGCCGTCCTTCCAGCCCCTATCACTGTTCTTGAGTCCTGACGTTACTCCTCTTTTCTCTGAACATGGTTTTTCTTTCTGTTGTTGTCCTTAGTCTTCCCAGTTATGGCATGGGAAAAGGAAAATTTATGCCATCTTACCTCAGAAGACTTCATTTATTTTTGATCATTGTTAGTATGTCCCTCCCGAAATTGGCCCATTATCATCACTGGCATCAGCCCACACTGGCAAATACAAAAACAATCATCCAATCCATCAAATGGTGGACTAAAATTAAACATGTAAAACAAGTATTCTGATATATAGGCATGCATCTCACATTATGTTGCAAAGACAGTATTTAATTTGAAAGGGTTTATAATACTCAACTAAGCAGCAATATTCCGAAGCAAAGATGAATCCAGTTTTCTGGGAAAATAAGTTGCACTTGCATAAAACTTTCAGGTGGCGAACAATGAAGACTGTAGGAGGGTTGAAATTTTCTTCCTATTTCAGTTGAAATCTTGTGAGTATTTCTCTTATGACTGGGCTCTTAATGACTCACAAATTAGAATGCTTACTTCTGAAGGTTAAGTACAAAAGAGTAAATGATGCTTTTTATCTCCTTCATCTCATTTAAAACCTATAAAAGATTCAAAAACTTTTACTTGAAGTTACTGTTTAAGAGTGGGTTTTCATATGTCAGGCTTTGTTTAATCACACTGAGTTTTTTTGTTCAAAAATTCATCTAAAATGTTTAAGGGGGTGCTGTGAATAGAGATGTTCCCAGAAATTTCACTCAACATCTCGGTGGACTGGAAGAATGCAATAAATAGTAGGTGTTTCTTCATTGCTATGAGAGCTTGGAAGCAGCTTACATGGTAGAGGCAGACGTTGGGAGAAGAAGTAAATTATCATGGAAGAGGTGGGTTATCATGGAAGAGGTAGGTCATCATGGAAGAGATGGGTTATCATGGAAGAGGGGTCATCATGGAAGAGGTAGGTTATCATGGAAGAGGTGGGTCATCATGGAAGAGGTGGGTTATCATGGAAGAAGTGGGTTATCATGGAAGAGGTGGGTCATCATGGAAGAGGTGGGTCATCATGGAAAAGGTGGGCTATCATGGTAGAAGTGGGTTAGCATGGAAGAGGTGGGTTAGCATGGAAGAGGTGGGTCATGGAAGAGGTGGGTTATCATGGTAGAAGTGGGTTATCATGGAAGAGGTGGGTTAGCATGGAAGAGGTGGGTTAGCATGGAAGAGGTGGGTTAGCATGGAAGAGGTAGGTTAGCATGGTACTGTCTTAGGCATAAAACAAGGCAGAGACTTCCAGAAAAAAAAAAACACAAGAATAGACCTTGCCTATTAAATATATATGTCCATATGCAAGAACTGGTTAGGACAAGCAATCAGATGGTTTGGAGAATTTCAATGATGAGTGGATGGGAAGGAAGTAAAATGAACTCATTTTCTAAATGGTACAAATTTACAAGGTTTGGGCTAAGTTCTTTCTTTTGTTTTGTCTAGTTGGATGTTTATTTCACATTGGAAACTTTCTTGGGATGTCTGTTATCAATGTTTAACAACAAACCCTCCACAGCCTTATGAAGAAGCACCATGATTACTAACAGATGACTCTCACTATAGAATAATCAGGACTGGAGTCTGTTACTTGGCGTGAAATTGCTAAATATCAAGAAATGGAAATTTCTTCTTAGGTAGCTTTCATTTTCTTCACAAAGGAATCTCTTTTTGTTTTTAATTTGAGAAGTAAATATATGGAAGATGAAAACAGAGTGGAGGAGGGTGGAGGCTCCTACCGTTCACTATACAGGCTTTTAGTCTGTCCATGATTAACACAGTACCATACTATCTTCTTGGGACCAACCTACCTAATGTTTTCCCACTCAGTACCATTTAAAAGCAAACCCTATTTGTCCTGCCCTTGGTGAGGTGCAGAATAATCACAGATTTTATGTGGAACCAAAAGAAATATTCAGAGATTTATTTAAACAGCTATTCTGGAATTCATAGGGAGGTCATAATTCCTTACATACTTTCTCCTCATAATTCTTCTCCACTATGTGACATAGAATGAGACAAAAACTATTGCTACTCTACAGAGTAGAATCTAGTAGAGAGGAGGATGAATCAATAAAGGTCACACACTTGAGCAACAATTATATAGAGAAATACAAATTAAATTCTGAAGATTGTTGACATGGACATAATAAAATATGTTCAACAAGCTTAATGTTAACAGTTACTCTCATAATTTTACCAAGCACTTATTGTATATGAAGTCTGGTAACAGGTACTAAATTGATTGCTCATACCACCTGTAAACAGCTTTTCAGTTCTTAAAATGTGCTTAATCCTGAATTTCAGAGAATAGAAGGAATCATTGGGAGACATGAAAGAAAGAAAGAAAGAAAGAAAGAAAGAAAGAAAGAAAGAAAGAAAGAAAGAGAGAGAGAGAGAAAGGGAGGGATGGAGGAAGGAAGGAAGAAAGAAAGAAAGAAAGATTATGACTTTCCTATAAATTGTAGCATAAAAGCTATCTTTATTGTAAGGCGATTGGGGAAGTTATAAGACATAGAAATAGAAAATAATACAGTATTTCTTGACAAATATATTGGAAATGGTCCACATTCGTTCAACTCAATTTCCCTTTTCCCTTATTAATGTTGTCCAAATCTTTACAGATTTTTTTTCTGTAAAGATGAAACTTTTTTTGTTTCTATTTTAGTATCACTGATCAGAAATGCTTTCTTATATAATAACGGGGAATCATTTTATTTTCTCCTTTCCTTATTCCATTTGTAGTTAAAAATAATTTGCCAAGCCTCCCTTTCCCTTCTAAATAGTCTATTTATTCCATTGCTTTGCCTTTCCAACTTTATGTCAACATGCCTTTGCTATTTCTTAGTTATCTTCACTTTCCTTATTAGTTTAAAAAACATTGCCATCTTTATATTAGCCCGAAGCTTTCCTTTCAGTTAAAATACAAAATTAATTGAGTTCTTCCCCAGAACCTTTTAAAAAATGCTAATAACAGTAGCACTATATATCCCATATACTAGCGGCACAGTAGAATTAGTGGGTGTGGTGGTTTGAAAGAAAATGGCCCCAAAGGAAGTGGCACTATTTTGAGATGTGGCATTTTTGGAGGAAGTGTGTGTGTCACCGTGGGGGTGGTCTCTTTTGCTCAAGCTTCCCTTAGTGTGACAGTCAGTCGACTTCCTGTTGCCTGTAAGATGTAGCATTCTCAGCTTCAGCACCACATCTGCCTACACACTACCATGCTCCTTGTCATGGTGATAATGGACTGAACCTCTGAAACTGTAAGAAAGTCCCAATTAAATGTTTTCCTTAGGAGTGTTGCTATGATCATGGTGTCTCTTCACAGCAATAAAAACCCTAAGACAGTGATGGAGAATGAATCAATAAAGGCCATGTACTTGATCAGTTGTATTTAAAGCAATGTGGTATAGATAATAAACTCTAATGTCCACACGAATGAAGAGAAAGTGATTAGGAATAGCTTATTTGGAAACACAAATGTATGCCTACATATATACCAACTGCAACATCATTATAAAACATATATAATGTTTTTTCTTCTTTGTCTTTAACTTCACCTTGACTATGACATTTCCTTTACTTCTCTGTGTTCTTTCTTGATTTTTTTTCTTATATACTTCTTATTTTCTTCTCTTCTGTCCAATGTCTTCACCATTCAATGAAGAAGAATTCCTCAGCCCTGTATGGTGCAAAAAGAACATTCATTTCTCTCTTTGGAAGCCCTTCCCTATTTAAGAGCTTTCTCTGGTCTTACCTGCCCCTGTGGATACTTCCGCCAAATCCCAGGCTCAGGTGAGAGCAGCTCTTCCTTCCTTTAAAGAGTACCAGTTCCTTGTGGAAAACCTGAAAATCTGGTATCATGCTGTATTTGGAAGAAAACTGGTAGACAATAGTATATCAGCCAGTTCTGTCACTAGCTTGTGACAGTTAGAATATGGCTTTAGCCCCAGCCAGCACAAACTCTTCTACATAAAATGGAGAAGTTTATACATGTTGAATAATGCCACCTCAAAATATGTCTACTTTCTAACCCTGAAATCTATAAATATTATATTACATGTCTTAAAGAACTTCACAAGTATATTTAAGAAAATTGGCTTGAGAAACTATCCTAGACTAATTGAGAGGATCAGTATAGTCACAATTGTCCTTATGAAAGGTACCCATGAGGAGTCATAGGTGGAGGAGAAGGCAAGGTGATTGGAATGCTGTGACTTGGAGAGGGTAAGAGTTGGGCACAAGCCAATACAGACATACTCAAGACACTGAAAAAGGCAAGGAGTCTCCCATCAGAACCTCTAGCAGGAACCAACCTTGTGGACAACTTGATTTCAGCCCAGTGAAATGATCTTGGACATGTGACCTGCAGAACTATAAGAGTGTATTTTGATGGTTTTAAGACATTAAGTAGTTTATTATATCAGCAACAAGAAATTAATACAAAGTTGAATTAGGTAGCTTCTATGATTCCAACTCTATGTTTCCAACTCTAATTGCTAGTTCATAGTGAAGACCTATTTCTGAGTGGCCTAGACTACAATACTCAGAGGCTTTAATTGGATGCTTGTTTTAAAAAAAGAACACCTGATAAGACAGCTACTCAGCATTGCTTGGAAAGATGGGGCATATCTGAAGGAAGGAAACTGAAGAATAGCCCGTGGTTTCAAGAGATGTCTTGTTCTAAAAGCCATCAGTAGTAAGAGAACATCAACTTCCTCTATAGTCTGTCCTCAAAACTCCTCCCAATCTCCTCTCTTTGTCTCCTGTATAGCATCTGCCTTCTCACCACTTCCCAGACTAGCCCTTCTGCCTTGATTCTCTGGTTAACATTCTCCAGAAAATGGTTTCTTAAACGTGTCCTAAGTTCCAATCAATCCCAAGCTTCCTGAAGTCTCCCCTAACCTCCCTGGGCACATTAGATCATGTCTTTCTCAAGCATGTCATTTGCTCCGCTTCCACCCAGACTCTTCCACCCTCCTCCTATTTAGTGTTTACATGTCTGTCTCCTCCACCCACCTTCTGTTTAGTGTCTACGGTCTGTCTCCTCCACTGCCGAGGAAGACTTTGAATGTTGCATTTGTGACTTACGTGTTTCGGTAGCTTATATTGGCTGTTTCTTGAATTAGGACCACAGAAGACTAGAACCAGGAAACCAAAGGTCTCTTCTCGTCTAATGAATCTCTCAATGCAGAACTCTGTATAGGAAAAGCAGTAAAGGAACACGGTCTGTCAGTGTCCCAGCCTCTCGCTTTACTTTCTACAGCATTTTTTCAATACTGTACATTTCCTCAGCTCACCCTTTCCCTGACATACCGTGGACAAATAGGAAAAATTAAACACATCTCACTTTTATAATTTTTCCAGTAAGAAGATCAAAAGTTAATTTATGAGCCTAAAGAGATTTGTTTAAATGCCCTATGCTGTGATTTATAGGAAGATCATAATCCCTTCCGATGTGCTGGCTCCCCATAATGCTCTCTATTCTTTGAAATTCAGGATTAGGCACATTTTAAGAACATAAAAGCTGTTGGAGAGTGTCAAGAGTAATCATTGATAAAACCTCCTTATTCTCTTGATCCAAACCAAATCCTAATTAATGAAAGCACTTCAGTGCCTGAACAAAGACCGTTTATCCTACCTGGTTATATTAAACATTATTCCATTTTGGATTTAATGCAGAACTGAGAGGTAAAATGAGTTCACTCCAGAAATATCTCCCAGCAGTAAAATGCCTGACCCTTTACTCATTTCCTTAATCATGGGGGCTGCTTACACCAAACCTTTCATTTGGAAAGCAGAGGGAACTTAACTTTGAAACCCTGAGAAAACAAGGAGGCAATACAAAAGTGCCTGTTGAGTGTGGTTTTCTCAGATAGACCAATATGCCGAATTCTCATAACATGTCTGTGGAAGAATCACGAAGAGGAAGAAACCAGTGATATCCAGTTTTGTTTCATTACCACTCACACAATCTACCAAATTCAGCGGGAGACCTCTGCCTTGTCTGGACAGAGGTATATGACCCTGTGGACATATATTGGCAATGATGGTAGGGGGAGGGGCTTGCATAATGGCTGTTTAGATGATGTAACAAGGAGATGCTGATCACATTAGAAGAAAACCCTGCCACTTCCTGTGTCTGTGAAAGACTGTGTATGGTATGCTACTGCTTGGAAGTCAATAAACAAAACTCACCGACTGATCCCAGGTCACCCACACATGCTGACACGGCCTTTGGCTGCAAATCCCCCCGGAGACACAGTCCATAGGCAACAGTGTTTTCCAGTCCCTTCTTGTTTGGGACATGAGTCAGGGCAGCACAACCTCGAAGCCAAGATTTGCGATTAGTATGTCTATATTGCCGCTCCCAGTCCCCATTCAACAAATCACAATGGCATTGCTGTTTGAATGGGTGACTAAAACAGGTTCATTACAATAAAAAGAAGTACTAGTCAATTCAGTGCATGCTGTGTAAATTGAAGCATGTGTGTGGCCTGCCAAGAACAAATGTAGTAATTTTAATATAAATACCTATATATAGATATATAGAGGGAGATATTAAAACTCTGAATTATTCTACCACATTTTAATGCCTTAAAAGGGAAACTTTAAGTGTTTGATCAGTATGTTTTAAAGATGGAAAGGCCCAGAATGGAATAGGAAACTTCCAGGCTAGATTTTGTTCTTGGCAGAATTTCATCTGGCTATTGGCTGCTTTTCTAAAATTAAGTGTTCCTTGCTTCTCTCCTTAATTATTGGGATGAATCAAATTCTAAAGAAAACAAGCATGTCATCTCAGCCTCTGTCATTGCAGGTGTCGTGAGACGTGTAATTTACAGCAGGAAGCACATCTTTCCTTTCATACAAAGCACACACCGAAGCCAGGCCGAAGTCAGAGCAAGTTCCGGTTTCATTGTTTGTTACCTATGCACAGGACAAACAGGTTAAGCTTTCTGAATCTCCGTCTCTTCATCCACAAATATGGAAATAACAGTGCCTACTGGCAACGCCAAGTAAGATCAAATGTGTCATCAGTCCCGCCATCTGTAGGCACTCCAACAGTAATAGCTACTACACCAGAAAAAGCATCATTATTCATGCAATGGATGGATAAAATATCCTGTAGCGCATTAGGAAGTCCTTGAGAGTGGGTTCTGTTCTATATCGTGTGTATCCCTTTCGGAGGCTGTCAGAATGCGTCTCTAGTAGGCATGAAGTAGAGACTTGTTCATTTGGCTCAAGCACAGATTTTTCTCCAGAACAACGTTGTACCAGCTTCCCGCACACTTCGGTCCCCTGTGCTTTGTTTAATAATTTCACTCTCACCCTTTGGGTTAGTTTCCCAGTCAATGGCAGATGGATGAACAAGGAGAAGGTGGATTTTAAAGGAGAAAAACTTAGTGGCACCGGCTTGTCATATATACTTGGGAAGCTGGGGCAGGTGGACCACAGGTTTAAGATTTGCCTGGGCTACAGTGTGAGTTCAAAGCTACCCTGGGCAACTTCGTGAGACCCTATCTTAAACAATAAAATCAGGGTGGGAGACAGAGCTCAGTGGTAGAGAGTTTGCCTAGCATGCCCAGGAGCACAGGTTCAACACGTAGTACCAGAGAACAGGGAGGAGCAAATTGAAAGGAGAGAAAGAGGACATAACTCAAAAGCAAGCAAGCCTGTATCAAGAAGGCAGTCACAGTTTCCCGGTGCAGTGTGGAGAAATAAGCCGTGCATTCTCATACCCACTTTCAAGATGAGAGCCAAAGTCTCCTGAGAAGCTGAGCACAGTGGACAACGTTATAGGATTTACGACTGAAGGGATGGTGCCCGAGCACACATCTCACAAGAAGCGATTTGCCACGGTTTAGCATTAAAATCACAAGTACATAATATGGGGGGAAAAGTTGCAAAGGAAACAGAAAGGTGTGAGAAGAAACCGCCAAGGTGGAAATGAAAGGCTAAAAAGGCCAGAAGTGCTTGGGCGAACTTCCAAGCACAGAGGGTTTTTCAAGAAGAAGCGACGATTGGGCAGAAGACACAGAATGGACAGAGGAGAACCAGCTGACCAGCGTCCCCCTGTTTCCTTTTTGTCTTTGAGGAGAGCATCTTTAAACGATAAAGCAGAACACAAACAATGTGGCTCTGAGCTCCATTAATAGAAGAAATACCGAGCATAATTGTATCTGCCCCCATTTATCTAAGGTCAAGGTTTTATATTCAGATCACCTCAAGGTTATAAAAAGGTCCACATAGTGATTCAATGGTTAATTTTACTAATTTCTGTATTTGTAGACATAGAAGACATGTCATGTGTCCATATCTCTCCCACATGTTGGAAAAGTGTTAGCCATTATTTCTCTATGCTGTCTTATCTCTCTCTTGTCCTTCTGGGATTCCTATATTTGTTCACTACAGATCCAGAATTCTTCCCAACTTTCTTTTCTTCTTCCTCCTTGTAATCCTAAAACCGGCTTATTCAAATGACCAGCTTTTTTCAGTTTCCTTCTTCATAAGCAAAGGAATGAGGCCCTTGAGACAAGCTTGAGAAAATAGATTATCAGCAGATGGAATGAAAATGATTAGAAGAAAAAATAAGGAAAAAATAACCCCTCTGTATAAAGGCTAAGATGCATCCTAGCGACCTGCTGTGTGACAAAATTTTCCCTGGGGAGGCACTACACACGAGTCTACTCATGCCAGACATGGAGTGAAGGGACAGCAGCCCACTGGAGCATGTGGCTCTGGCAGGCCTTGTCCTTCCCCCTTTCCCTCTGCCTTTATCGAAACCTTTAGATTGCATTGCTGAAGCTAGCCACCAAGGTCTATTCCCTTATTTGGCCACTTCCCCCTCCTGAGGCTGGCTACACAAGTCCAACAATCAAAAACCCTCTTCGGCTCACCTAATTAACATGCCCAGTTAAAATGAAACACCTCGTCCTAACATGGAGTTCCCCACTTTACCTTTATAAACTGCCATTTGCCCATGTGCCACATCTGTCTCCCCTCTACCCAGAGGCAGTCCTTTGTTCCTCCTGGACAAATACCCCTGTCCCCTTTCCCTTGTCCCCTTCCCCTTACCATCACGCCCTGTCTCCTTTACCACTGCACCCTAGCCCATTCTAACACAGACCCCTCATTTCCTCCTCTTAAAAATTACACCTGCAAGGACATTTACTGCTATGTTCCTGCCTGAGTCAGAGAGCACTCTTTAATTTTTCTTTCTTGCTTAATAAAGGATCTCTGTGAAAATGTGTCTCTGTGTGATTTATGCCTACTCTGGGTGCAGGAGGAAACCCCTGCTGTGCGGGGTCTCCTTCAGGGAGCCCATAACAGAACAAAGTACAAATACCACCAAAGTCCAGCATGGTGAACCTATGAGTTTTATTGGGGTTACTTACAGGAACATGGGTGAGGGGTTCCTTACAGGAGCAGAAATGATTTGAACACAGCTGTATCACGAAAGCCCACCCCAGCATGGGTGACGGTGCCGGAAAGCTGGGAACCTGGATCACACTGCTCAGCCCACAGGCGGCTCAACTAGTTGAAGAATGTCTTTTCCAAGGGATTTTGGTCTAAACCTCTTCCAGGTAGCTCTGCTGGGTTCTGCTCCTTCTGGGTAGCTGTTCTGGTCTCCAAGTCTTTGCAGCTTGCCTTGTCTGAAAATGAGTCTCAACAACGGGGCCTTGTTTACTCTAGGAGGGAGGGGGCCTATTGTGGAATATTTGTTCACACTGTATGAAGATGTGCCACTGTGATTGGTTTAATAGAGCTGGATGGCCAATAGCTTAGGCTGGAGAGAATAGGTGGGACTTGCAGGGAGAGAGAGAGAGAGGAACTCAGAATGAATACAGGCGAGTGGGTGTAATGCCCTTAGAGCAGCTATTCTTAACCTGTGGGTCTTAAGCCCTTTTGTGGGGGAGCAGTCAAATGACCCTTTCATAGGGGTTGCCTAAGACCATGGGAAAACACAGCTATTTATATTACAATTCATGACAGTAGCAAAATTACAATTATAAGTAGCAATGAAATGATTCTATGGTTGGGGGGATACCACCACAACACGAGGAACTGTGTTAAAGGGTCACAGCACTAGGCAGGTTGAGAACTACTGCCTTAGAGTTTTTATTATTATTAAATTTATTATTATTATTATCATCGTTATTATTATTATTATTATTATTATTATTATTTGGAGCTAGGTTTTCCCAGACAGAGAGTCTCCCATATTCTTCAGTGAGTGCTGTTCTTTCACTCTTAACTATGCCTCCCATGCACACATCATGTGCACAAATCATGTGCACAGAGTTGCCTGGCAGACCAGAACACCAGGCAGAGGCAGATTATTAATATCGAAAATTGACCACCATATTTGTTACTCACCAGATTTTCACAATGCATCATGTTTTAAAAACATAGCAGCCTTTCTAGAGTGTTCCCCCATCAGCACCGTTTCCCTGGCCTCTCTCCCAAAGGCTCCTGTTAAGGGAGATGGTTGTTGATAAGCTTCCAGCTTTGAGTACTCATCTCTGAAACAACTGAGACCTGTTCTGTTTGGATTTCGATACCTGTTACATATTCTTGCTGTCTCGGGGAATAGACCTATGTTTTGTCCAAATGTAGTCTCTCCCTGTCTGTGTGCACATAACAGGTTCAGTTTACCTGCATGATCTGTAGAATGCCCACCATTGAAAGTTTCCTGAGTAACTAGAACACCGTAAGAAGTTTGTGTGTGCTGAAAAAGAATTTCTCTTCTCTAGTGGCTGGGTACTCTGTTACATAAATGCTCATTACTTCAGTGTGTACATTGTATTACTCAGATATTACATATATTTGATTCATTGTTTAATAAGTCGGTAGCTACTATCAAAGCCTTCCACTATGATAATAAATTTGACTCTTCTATATTACAGTTTCATCAACTTTTGCTTCTCACATTTTGGTATTCCATTGAAAATTATAACTTATTTCTGGTGGTTTGCTTTAGTTGGCACCAGAGGCCATGAAGTGCATAAAACACTGGCACAATACTGGGGAGGATTCAATTCACTCACTCCCGTATGGCCTGATTTAATGAAAACATTCTAAACACTTCATTTTTACTTCTTCATCTTCATCAGCATCTTCTTCCTTTGGAATAGTGAGCCGATAGTGGTGATGGGAATAATTTTGTCTACGGGTAGGACTTTAGACTCCATTCTTCTTGGCCTCAAGGAAAGCAAAGCAAGTCGAATCGGTTGCTAAAAATCCAGATTCTAGCTTTGAAAGCTATCAAGTGTCACTATAAAACTTAGGTTTCACCGTGGTCTTTGTGCTGGTTTTGTTTTGTTTTCTTTGCGGCACCAGAATAAATTAGTGGATGACAATTCAGTTTGGAACACATCATCAGGGCTTGAGCTACCCATAGGAATTCAGGGAAAATACATGTAGTTAGAAGGTAGATGAGGCTAAAGAACACTACGGATGAATTATGAGGTTTAAAAACCTAACCTGTCCTTTTGTAGCAGCCATTAGTGACAACAATCAGAACAGGGACTTGGAAGGTGAGCTGGGCATAGCCAGGTTTGGGTTCTAACAAGAATAACTCCAACCACATCATGAAAGAAGTCTGGAATATGAAATAACGTGGAATATCAGGTTACTAATGGTACCCATCTGGAAATGAACAGAATTCAGAAAATGGTGCAGGAAATGAAAGAGGGTGGTTGAGTTTTGAAATGTATTTTAGACAGACTTCCAGTTTGGGCAATGGAAATGTTTGGCTAAGAAGTGAGAGAAAGAGAAACTTAAAGACTCCAGTGGGTTCACACCATTAGCCAGCCAGGTACACATTGAGGTTAGGTTTTGTCCTTTTTCCTTTTCTTTGTACTTACATACTCTATTTAGCTTAGGCTCTGGTAGATTTCAGACATTAGGCTTAATATACTAGTATTGGTAAGACAAAAAAAAATCACTTGTTTTTTTGTTTTGTTTTGAGGTACTTAAATTCTTAGCCCACAAACAGTGGCAGTTGAAGACCATACATCGTGTCCTTGGCTGAGAGTGATTCACTACCAACTAATGATCCTATACTTTAACTCCCTGCACCACCCACTGCCACATTAATCTTTACAACAATCTGTTACAAATCGCTGCTCTCCCAGGGGGAAGAGAATATAAATTGGAATGTTCAACCCCGTTTTAGCTTGTCCATCTCCACCCCAACCCTCTTGCAGCAGATTTCAAGGTGGCCGAAAACATGAAGACCTCATGTCATTTCTCAGATCTCCTTACAGCACTATTTCCTTTTAAGGCCTAGCTTCTACCAAGTAGACGTAAGCACATGAGCTTTGGAAGGCAAATGTTGGAGAGTATAACCAAGGCCTTCCTGCCAACTCTGCTACTTACTGCTACTTGCAGTAATGGTAGTTGTGGAGTGGTATTTCTATGGATTTTGGTGTGTGTGCGCGCGCGCGCGCGCGCGCGTGCATACTTTCTGCAACAATGGTTGCAAGTGTCATGGTCAAATTGTTTTCTACTCCCTCCTTTTTAGGTCTCACCTCTAGTGATGATGAATGTGATCTTATTTAGAAATACTGTCCATGTAAGATAGTCCCATTAAGTTATTAGATGGGGCATACTTCAGTCTGACTGATATTCTTATGAAAAGGGGAATATGAGCACAGAGGTAGATACACATACATGCACATATGTACATGTATACATACACACACACACACAAACACACACACACACAGAGAGAAACAGAAACAGATAAATTCAAGGATGGTTGATTTCTGGGACGGATCCTCCTTTTGGATTGCAGAAGGCAGAGGCAGATTTCTGTTTGTGTTCATTGAATGGAGGGAGGAGAATGCCACATGAGCACAAAGTAGAGTTTAGGATGACTCATCCAAGAAAACTACAAAATGTCATCAAGGCACCCAAAGTTAGATGTGATGTGGCCACAGACTCCCTCTCGTGGCTCTCAGAAAAAGATAACCTTGCCTCCATTCCAGTCCTTCTCGCTTCCAGAAGTGAGGAGAGTGCCTTTCTGTTGGTTGGGCATCCATGGCACACTGCTCTAACATCCCTAAAAAAGCAGCACAGGTCTCATTGTGTGGTCTTCAGCCTTGCTGAAGGTGTTGAAAAGCAAAGGCAGGGGAAAGGTAGCACCCATTATGATGGAGTGCATTACAGCATCATGGAATGTTCTGGAGCCAGAAGTCATGGTTCTGTTTTATTATTTCCCGGTAGTCTCATCACTTTAAGGGCAGAACTACCAAGGTATGGCAGTTGAGTGGCACTTCCTCAGAATTCAGCCATAGAATCTGTCCCTTCTCTAATGAAGTGTCCATCATCGTTTCTGCAAATGTGTCATGCATCCTCACTAAAGGACTCAGTGACGTCCCAAAAACCTATCAGTTATTCTTGCCCAGGTAAATCTGTTTGACTTCCTTTCGCTTTGAGCAATACAATGTGTGTCACAAAGACAAACAAACGGCAGTTAGGTCATGGGACTAGTAGAACTGAGGTCACAAATGTCTACGAAGATTCCATTTCTCTGTCTGCCTTAGAGGAAGAAGCTGGCCTTTTTACAGTAGTGGATTAGTTGTTCCTCCCAAGGAGGTGAGCTGTGGGACAGTAGACAGACATGAAGATGGGTGGGGAGATACGGATAGAGTTTGTCAATATTTGAGTGGACACTGCAAATTCTGCTGGCCACATGAAATCCTCAATAGTCTCAGTTTTGGGGAGCTCTTCTCAAGGTTATACACTATAAAGCCTCAGAGGAAAGCAGGGACTAGAAAAGGCACAATCTGATGTGATTTGTAGCCAGCTCTGTTTAAACAATGTGAATGGGGTACAAGACAAAAACCTCAGCTGGATTCTCACCCTGTACAGTAACTTAGAGTGCTTTGCGCTGTTGAAGGCCGTGGTGTTTACTGAAGTGAGACCTTGTTTTTGTTTTTTTTTTCTCTTCAAACAGGTAAACTGAGTCTCAGAAAGGTTAAGTGACTTATTCAAAGTCAGTGGTGGTCTGGTTATCTGAAGGACAAATAACCTGCATAAGGAATAACTCTTTTCTTCTGCATCTTCGGAAAGTGTGTCTAAACAGCCAGTTGGGCATTGGACTAGGACAGATCTGTCCAGAGAAATGTGAGCCAAGTCCTACTGATGCTGTAGCCCTGGCTCCAGTGAACAAAGAACACCATACAGTACAGGGAGGCTGGCTGAGCCTTCCCGCCCTCATTCCAATGCCACCTCTGCTATGCACTGTTCGAATCTCACGGGATTTACACCTGCTTCTGTCCGAAGCACTCCATTCACTTCTCAGATGGTTGTCGCCTGTTGGTTTAGCAAGCCCTTGTGTGCTACTTACCTAGCAGCTATAATCACTCTTCCAGACACTTTGCTCAAACTAACCTCACCTGACAAGTACTGTTAATACAAATGCAGACCTGAGTGACTGACGGTGGTGGTGGTGGTTACTCTGCAAGTTGGAAGCAGGAAGCAGGCATCAAGCCAAAGGAGTATAAGCCAAGGCACACCTCCACGCCTGGCCCCGTACTTGTAACCGTGTCAAAGCTGTGGACATAAGGGCCAAGCCCTCTCTGCCCTGCACACTTCTGAGAACAGAGTTCATTGCAATCCCTGTCGGTAGCCATGTAACATTTAAAGCAGGTCTAGGGTAGACTGAGAAACTGAGTGATTTACTAAATGGATAACATAAAGACAGCAAGGGCTCATCCGTGGGAAGCTCAGCGTGTGACTGGCAAACTGTCGTCCTTTCTCTCGGTCACTTCATTCCCAGCTCCCTCTGCATGCTATTTCCCACAGGCTTCTGAACTACAAGGTACTCCAACGGAACCGTGGCAGGAAAAACGGCTGGCCGAGGGCAGGATGCACTCTCGCTCTGAACTGAGAGTGTGGTCGCCTTGCTTCCCTCTCCCAGGAGTGCTGGACGTGGCCTTCCTTGATGAGTTCAGGGAGGTTACTTCCGGGGCTCTAAAAAGAGAAGAGTTCAGCCAAGGCCCAGGAACAATTATGTTAAGGAACATACTCAATCAGACACATGATTCAGTCACTCAGTGACTATAGTTTAGATTTGTACATTTGATCTACTCTCCCATCATAGCTACCATAAAACTGCACTGATGCGTGACTCACTTTCTTTCATTACTTACCTGTCAGTGGTACTAATTAACCTTGGCTAATAGCTCTCTCCATACGACTGATTCAGGGATGGCTAACAGCACCAGGCTCCCCAAAGTAAATGGTGGGAGATGGGAACAGAATGCAGTTCAGCTCGCATGTTCCAGGATTGGAACTCAGTATCCTCGTAGCATTTAGAGCTCACTTCTGGGAGACATCTCAAAGGTGGGAGATCTGGAGTGAAGGCCCCAATCTTGTTCAATCTCAAAGGAGCAACGGGACCGTAGTTGGCAGCAGGAAGAGATGGGCAAGAAAAATAGTGTCCCCTTTCTGTTATTGGATTCTACAATAATCTGTATTACCTGTTTGACTTTAAAATTGCATATTTTTCCCCTCAAAATGTCAAGCAGAGAATTACCATATGACTCCACAATTTAATTCCTGGCTATCTACTCCAAAGAAATTAAAAGCAGGTTTTGAAACAAATACATGCATATGTAATATTCATAGTGCCGCTGGTCACACGTACTGGGAAGGTGAAGGGCCAGTGTCTTGCTAATAGGAGAATGAGTAGATAAATTATGGCCTATGTGTGGGGTGAAACATACCCAGCTGTGACAAGAAATGAATATTAGCACATACTACAACCTTGAGAAAGTTAGAAAATAGTGTCCTAAGTGAAAGGAGCCAGAGACACAAGGTGATAGGTGTATTTCATAGGGTGAAATACTCAGAACTAGTGAATCCAGAAAGACAGGCAGCTTCTGTCTTCTCCCTGGGCACTGGGCACTGCCAGCCGGACCTGCCCTATGCCATTCCATTAGTTCTTATTCACCGACCGAGGGGAGTTTCAGGGAAGCCCCAATTGGGAGTACCATCATGCTGTTCTTCACAGTTTACGAAGTATTTTCATATGAAAGTGATTCTTCAGTTGACTGGTTAGTGATGACTTAGATTCCCACACTGTTTGTCTGCAGGAACGGGAGGTGACCAGAGAGAAAGGAGGCCCCCGGAGATGGAGGATGCA